GAGAATCACTTGAACCTGGGAGGCACAAGTTGCAATGAGCCAAGATTGCGCCACTGCACTCCAGCCTAGGAGACAATGCAAGACTCTGTCTCAAAAAAAACCAAAAGAACCAACTTCTGGTTTTATTGGCTTTCTCTATTGTTTTTCTATTCTTTATTTCACTAATTTCCACTCTAATCTTTATTATTTCCTTCCCTCTGCCCACTTCAGATTTAGTTTGCCCTTTTCTTCCCAGTTATGTTAAGGTAGAAGATTAGGTTGTTGATTTGAGATTTTTCATTTTTAATGTAGACATTTACATATATAAATTTCCCTCTAACCACTGCATTAGCTGTATTCTGCAAGTTGTTTGTTTGTTTGTTCGTTTTGGGGGCGCTGTTTTTTTGTTTTTGAGATGGAGTTTCGCTCTTGTTGCCCAGGCTAGAGTGCAATGGCACAATCTTGGCTCACTGCAACCTCCACCTCCCAGGTTCAAGTAATTCTCCTGCCTCAGCCTCCCAAGTAGCTGGGATCACAGGTGCCCGCTACCACGCTCAGGTAATTTGTTTTTGTATTTTAGTAGAGATGGGATTTCACTGTCTTGGTCAGGCTGGTCTCAAACTCCTGACCTCGAGTGATCCACCCGCCTCTGCCTCCCAAAAAGCTGGGATTACGGCGTGAGCCACTCACTGTGCCCAGCCTGCATCCCACAAATTTTAGTGCAATGTCATTTTAACTTCTCTCAAAGCATTTTCTAATTTCCTTTAGCTTTTCTCTTTACTTATTAGTATGCTGTTTAATTTCCATGTATTTGTGAATTTCACAAATTTATTTCTGTTATTAATTTCCAATTTTATTTTAACTAGAAACATACTTCGTACAATTTCAATCACTTTAAAATCTATTGAGGCTTGTTGTATGGCCTATCATATGGCCTATCCTTCAAAATGTTCCACATGTCCTTGAGAAGAATGCGTATTCTGCTGTTGTGAAGTGTTCTCTAGATGTCTGTTAGGTCTAGTTTGTGAATAACGTTGTTCTAATCATGTATTTCCTTATTGATCTCTGCCTAGTTTCTCTATACCTTACTAAAAACAGAATATTTGAGTCCCCAACTATTATTGTTTTATTGTCTGTATTTTCTCTCAATTTGTTAAACTTTGCTTCATGGACTTGGGGACTCTATTGTTAGATGGATATATGTTTATAATTGTTATAACTTCCTGATGGATTAACTCTTTATCACTATAAAATGACCCTCTTATCTCTAGTAGCACTTTTTGTCTTAAAGTCTATTTTTTCTGATTTTATTATGGCCACAGCAGCATTCTTATTATTGCAGTTTGTACGGCGTATCTTTCTCCATCCGTTTACTTTCAACCTATTTGTGTCTGGTTCACAAGTGAGACTCAGAGACAGTATATAGTTGTAATCTGTTTTTTACCCAGTCTGACAATCTCTTCCTTTTGATGGGATTATTTAATCAATCACATTTAATGTTATTCATACAGTTGGATTTACATCTGCCATTTTGCTTTTTGTCTCATGTCTTTTTTTGTTCTTCTATTTCTCCTTTTTGCTTTAAGTGAATATTTTCTAATGTAATATTTTAATTTCTTTAATGATTTTTTTACTATATTTGAGCTATGTTCCTAGTGGTTGCTCTGGGGCTTGCCATATACATCTTAACTCATCAGAATCTACTTGATATTTATACTAACTTCATTCCAATGAGAATTAAGTTACTCTAGTTACTCCTATATAACTCTATTCCCTCATCCCCCTTTTTGTGCTTTTTATTATATAGCAGAAAACTTCTTATCCAGCTCCTTATGGTTTAGTGGGGAGACCAAGGCCCAGAGAGGGTCTGGCTTGGCTATGTACTGGCTGGCTGACTACAGATGCGTCACTTAAAATTCTTTGAGCCTCAGTGTCCTTACCTGTAAAATGGGGAGAATTGGATGAAATAGTTCCAAGAATGAAATGAGCTCTTATCACTTATCCTACACATAGTAGGAGCCCTGAAAACAGTAGTCTGTGTTTGGCCCTCAAAGAATTCCAGGAATTTTTATACCCCACTGTTCATTAAAAGGCCATATATGCAAAGCAACCCCCAAATGCAGAAGTAGCTAAGAAGTCAGAGTGAGGCAGACAAATCCAATTTGTTGGTACAGAGTGATTTATCTGGGAAACTTAAGGATGGAAGTGTAGTCTTGGACAGCAGCAAAACAGGTAGATCTTCACACTGTTATTCCCCAGACCCAGGGCTTATGTATCACAGGGAAAGAGTATACATGCTCTGTGCAAGACAACTAAAGGCAGCCCTCCAGAACAGGCAAGAATGCTGTATGTGTCATAACCTATAATTTGTACAATAACATCAAGGTTTACATGTTCTTATAAGGACAGTAAACAAAGTGAAAATCAGGAGGTTTTCACAGGGTCTAATCATAAGTCGACATGGTGGATTAGCATCTGTATTAGTCCACTGTCACACTGCTATGAAGAAATACCTGAGGCTGAGTAATTTATAAAGAAAAGAGGTTTAATTGACTCACAGTTCCACATAGCTGGGGAGGCCTCAAGAAACTTAAGGTGGAAGGCATCTCTTCACAGGATGGCAGGAGAGAAAATGAGTGCAAGCAGGGGAAATGTCAGACACTTATAAAACCCATCAGATCTCAAGATAAATCACTCATTATCACAAGAACAGCATGGGAGAAACCACCCCCATGATTCAATTACCTCCACCTGTTCCTGCCCTTGACGCATGGGGATTATGGGGATTACAAACGTGAGATTTGGGTGAGGACACAGAGCCAAACCATGTCAGCATCCAAGATGGAGTCACTTTTGTGTCTCCACATCCCACATTCTCACATTGGAGAGTCAGGAGGCATGCATGTCCAACAAAAGTCTTGGGCTCCCTCTTTCCAGTGCACGCCTCTCCACGGGAGCACCTTACAGTGAACTTCAGCAAAGGCTTGGCTCTCAGGGTAGGATGACATACTGGCCCAGACAGAAAGGCCTCCATGCCAGTCCCTCCTGATGAGGGCCAGTAGACTGCAAGCACCACCAGCATGGGCCAGACCTGCCCCAAGGGCGTGTTTCTAGCCCCAGCTAAGGTCCTGAGTTTGTGCTTTCCCATCTGTCCCTGCCATAGGTTGAGTGTGGTTGAGGCTTTGGGGTCGGTGCTAGAAAGGTATGGGAGGGCGAAGCAATCACAGCTGAGTGTCACGCCTCTGATTGGTAGATGGCCAGGCCCTCACCTGGGAAAAAAGCCTTCCTACAGCTACTCAGGCAGGTGGCCTCCCATGCTCTGCTTGATTACCACCCAAGACAGAGGCCTCACTCCCCTGAGGCATTTCAAGGCCTCCCTGCCATTTCCCCATCTGGTCTCAAGACTGGAGTCACTCACCCATGTATTGGGCACCTTTGGTGTGCCCAGCCCCATTGCTGAGTTTGAGGACATAGAGAATGGTCAGACATAAGCCCTGGAAACCAGACATGATCATATGTAACAAATGCAAAGCTGGGACTTGAACATGGGCTCAAGGAGAATGTGCTAGGGGACCCCTCTCACAATAGAGCCCAGAAAAGATCTGAACTTCCCGGTGCTTGCCTGTGACTCTGTGGATCATTGGATGTCTGAAGCTGGCTCCCTACTGCTGTCCAGAGATCCGGCTGACAGCCTCAGGAAGGGCTCACACTGAGGGCAGGAGATGCTGGAGAGCGAGCACTGGACTTCGAAGCCAGATCTGGATTCCAGCTTGGCTCTGCCATGGAGTAACTGAGTGACCATGGGCCAGTCCCTTACCAGTGCTGAGTCGCAGTCCGTGCATCTGTGAAAGGAAAAAGCTTCATCCTGAGTTACAGGGCTGAGTTGGAGGGAATTCGATGATACTCCAAGACACTCACCAATGAGGAGCTGACTGTCCAACTGAGGCAGTGGGTGCCCATGGCTGCCCCTAGCTGACCCTGACTCCTCCCCAGGACCCCAGCTCCCAAGGCCCCATCATCTTTTCCAGTGGGAGGACTAAGTCACTCATGCCCAGGGGCTTATTTGCATAGGATTCTCAAGGATCCAGCTGTTAGTCCTGGAGGAGGTTCCTGCACACTCTTCTTGCTCCCACCATACCGCATCCTCCCTAGAAGTCCCCTTCGCCCCTCTGTGCCTTTGTCCTGCCTGGAATGCTTCTCCCTGCCTTCCCTGAGTTAACTCATCCTCACCCTCCAAGAACAACTCAGCCTCACCTCTTCTGGGAAACCTTCTCTGATCTGATCCAACCCCCTAACACATCTGGGTCAATTTCAGCCCACAGTCCCAGGCCTGCCCGAGGCCGGCAGAATCGTTCCTCACACTCTGTTCCTTCCCCTGTGCATCCCCCCACCACTTCCTAAGACATCGGTCAAATCATGTTCACCTTTCAACTTCATGTCTTGGTGGAGTCCTTGTCCATCTCTAAGAGTCACAGATTCAAGCCTCAGCTCTACCACTAATTTGCTGTGTGACCTTGGCCAAGTCCACTGCCCTCTCTGAGTTTCCCTTTTCCTATCTGTGAGATAATTCAGCTTGCAAGCAGAAGCTTCAGAGGAGAGGAGGGCAGTCAGCTCTCACTACCAGAGGCTCCTACAGGCAGCAGGGTGAGTTGCTGCTCTCCTCCTTCTATCCTGCTTCTATCCCAGGAGCAGCCAGGATAGAATGCATGGGCCTGAGCCCAGACTCTCCTCCATTTATTTAGGGATCGACAGTTCCCAGGGCAGCAGGGGCAGAGGAGGAAGGGGTGTGGCAGTCCCTGGCTCCAGCTCAGTGTCCTCTCTCTCTATCCACAGTAGCACGATACAACCGCACCAGCTACTTCTACCCCACATTCTCAGAGAGCTCGGAGCACAGCCATCTGCTCGTGTCCCCCGTGCTGGTGGCAAGTGCTGTCATAGGTGTGGTCATCATCCTCTCCTGCATCACCATCATCGTGGGCAGCATCCGCAGGGACAGGCAGGCCCGGCTTCAGCGGCACCGCCACCGCCACCACCACCACCACCACCATCACCACCGCCGGCGTCGACACCGAGAGTTCGAGCACGGCTACGGTGAGCTGCTGCCCACCCTGGGGCCCTGGGACTTCATCTGATTGCAGTTGCAACCCAAGAGGCCTCAAGGAGTTGGCAGCTCTGCCCTGGGTGGAACAGGGTGGTCGGGAAAGCATCCTAGAAGTCTTGGGCTATGGTAAGCACTCACGGGTGCCTACCATAATGTTCTCTGTGGCATGAGAGGCCCAGTTGACTGCTAAGAGAGAAACTCAGAGTGAGGCTGAAGGTCAGAAGGAGAGTGTGTCACTCCTCCTGCCACTGTTGGTCCAGGCTGTACCAACGGCTGGTCTAGCTGGTGCCTGGATGGATGGATGAATGGATGGATGGATGGATGGATGGAGAAATGGGTGGAGAGATGGGTGGATGGGTGGATGAATGGAGAGAGGAATGGATGGATGGGAAGGGTGAAGGACTCATAGGGAAATGGATGGGTGAGGAGTGAAGCAATGGATTGATGGAGGTTGAGTGGAAGGGTCAGTAGATGGATGGAGAGATGGATGGGTGGAGAGTATGGATGGATAAATGGGTAGATGAAATGATGGATGAATGAGAAAATGGAGAGATGGATAGATGGGTGGACTGAGTGTTATGTCTGACTGGATGGATGCAAGGGAGGGCTGGGTGGAGGAACAGAAAGATAAATAGGTAAGCAGCAGGATGGGTTGATGGGGGGTGAGTATATGAATAAGTGAATAGGTGAACTGACGGAATGAATGATGAGTGAATAAAGCCAGCCCTAGTGAGAGCCAGCAGAGCACAAACAGAACTGATCTGAGGGTCTCCCAGTTGTTGGAATCACCTTTAATCAGAGTTGGTGGCTAATTCTTGGGTGACCAGTCCCAAAACTGCATGTAGCCAGAATGCCTGATCTTTTTGCAGAACGTAGACACCTGACTGTCACTCCAGGGGCCAGCTGTCTAAGACAGCAGGAAAAAATTCAATCGATTCCATTCTCGGACAATTTTCAATGGCAGGAAAAGCCAGACTCTTCCTTCCCAAACCTCCATCCACAGGCCTTCAGGGGCTTCTGCATGGGTCCAAGGCCACCACCAGATAGGAAAAATAAAAGCAGGACCTTGGCGGTGCTTAACAGCAATAGCCACCCTTCACACTGGGGGTGAAGTAATGCCAGCCTCCTAGAAGCCAAAGCCCTGGCCAGACCTAAGGCACTTCCCCCTCTAGGGCAGGAAGAGCTTGGGGAAAAAGGAAACTTTTTTTTTGAGATGGAGTTTCACTCTTGTTGTCCAGGCTGGAGTGCAATGGCACAATCCTGGCTCACCACAATCTCCACCTCCCAGGTTCAAGTGATTCTCCTGCCTCAGCCTCCCAAGTAGCTGGGATTACAAGCACACGCCACCACACCCGGCTAATTTTGTATTTTTAGTAGAGATAGAGTTTCACCATGTTGGTCAGGCTGGTCTCAAACTCCCAACCTCAGGTGATCTGCCCGCCTCGGCCTCCCAAAGTTCTGGGATTACAGGTGTGAGCCACCGCACCTGCAGAAAGGAAACATTTTTGAAATAGATTGAATTGGATCTGAACAGCCCTGGCCTTTGGGGCCCCTCCTCCCCTTCCCAGACACACCCTGATTAGCCAGCAGGTTTGGGGCATTTCCTGTCCCTTTTCACAGAGTTAACTGGTTAAGGAGGGGACTAAGGGGTAGCTGGAGTTGGTGAACAGGAGCCTGATAGTAATGGCCAGTGCGTAAGGAGTGCTTGCTGGGTGCCTGGCGCTGTTTGTGCATAATGTCACTGTGCAAAATCCTCACCATAGTCCTGGTGGGATGATAAAAGTCCTACCTTTTATCATCATCCCAATTGACAGATCAGAAAGTTGAGGCTGGAATGATTAACAGGCGGGATCACCCAGCAGGCAAGTGGTGGATCCCAGACTTGAGCCCAAGCAGTCTGACCTGGTGCCTACAGGCTGCCAGCTGCCCAGCACTGCCTGAGAAGGGAGCTGGAGGTGTTGGGGAGATGCCCCTGGGAGCCATCCCGTGGGCTCAAGGCAGTGTCCAGCAGACGTGCACATGGCCACAGTGGGCGTCACTCAGACCTGGATGTCACTCCCCTGGGAAAGCTGTTAGAACCAGAAGAGCAGGAGGCTGGACCTTATGCAAGACACAGAGGGACATCCAGGATGAGTCAGGAGACAAGTGGCCACAGTTGAGGAAAGAACAGCAGGCTAGCGGACTGTTCTCACTGCCCAACAATGAGGATCGAAGAGAAGGTTCAGCATGAATAAAACAGACGTGGAAAGCTCAGCCCACACAGTCTCTGCAAGTCTCTCCTAAGCCAAGGACTCCCCAAGGAGACAAGTCAGGAGCACTTCCCGGCCAGGACAGGACTGGCCCACCCCTGCATCACCAGCCTGAGCCTGGAGAGTTCAGGTCTCCTGCCCAGAGCATGCCCGTCTCCCCCAAGAGAAACCCAGAACTCCCAGCCCTGCGGGGTGCAGGGCAGACCCAGGATGGTCAGCCTGCCGCCTGCCCCTCACACAGCCTGGCCCTTGCCCAGCTCCCGCCGCTCCTCTCCAAGCACCTGTCCATGCTCCTTCCAGCCTCCGCCCTTTGCCTGGGCTCTTCCCTCTGCCTTGACTGCCATTCCCTGTACTTCTCCAATCAAGAAAAGCCGTCCAGGCCCCGCTCAAAGGCTGCCTCCTTAGGGGAGCTTGTGTGGCCTCTCCTCACACCTACCAGACAGAGTTGAATGGGTGTCCCCCTTCTGTGTACATCCTTGGCATTGCACCCACTCCTCCCTCAGTGTCTCGGTCATGGGGTTATTGTGCTGCATCAAAGAGAGTAGGGCCTGCAGGAGACTCGCCCCCACCCAGGCTTGGGCCTGGAGGTAGAACTCCATGGGCAAGGGTAGGAGCCACCACATTTTATCCTCATAGCAAAAGATGAAGCGGCCCCCTTTAAAGACTAGGAAATTGGCCAGGCATGGTGGCCCACACCTGTAATCCTAGCACTTTGGGAAGCTGAGGTGGACAGATCACCTGAGGTCAGGAGTTCAAGACCAGCCTGGCCAACATGGTGAAGCCTTGTCTCTACTAAAAATATAAAAATTAGCTGAGCATGGTGGCACGTGCCTCTGATTGCAGCTACTCAGGAGGCTGAGGCAGGAGAATTGCTTGAACCTGGGAGGCAGAGGTTGCAGTGAACCAAGACTGCACCACTGCACTCCAGACTGGGTGACAGAGCGAGACTCTGTCTCAAAAAATAAAAAATAAAGAATAGGAAACTGGGCTGGGTGCCATGGCTCACACCTGTAATTTCAACACTTTGGGAGGCTGAGGTGGGAGGACCGCTTCAGACCAGGAGTTTGAGACCAGCCTGGGCAGCACAGCAAGACCCCATCTCTACAAAAAAAAAAAAAGTAAAAATTATCAAGGTGTGGTGGCACATGCCTGTAGTCCCAGCTATTAAGGAAGCTGAGTCGGGAGGGCCCCTTGAGCCCAGGTCAAGGCTTCAGTGAGCTATGATCTCACCACTGCATGCCATGCTGGGTGACAGAACAGAGAGAGACACTGTCTCTAAAAAAGTAAGACTAGGAAACTGAGGCACAAAGAAGCAACTTGTTCAATGACTTACCTTGGAACACATGCCAGGGGCTCACAGTAGTTCCCAAGCTGAAAGGCTGAGAGGTTGGCCTGGGCGTGGAGGAAAGAGATAGGCCTGGGGGCAGGCCAGCCCCTCTGTAGTCTGTGGTGGCCTCGGGACTGGTGCCAATGAATGAGCCAGAATGAATGAGTCCCACCCACTCCAGGGACTCCTCGGCTCTGTCCCTGGAGTGGGTAGGATGACTGAGGCCACAGCTCTGCCATGTGGAGTCAGGCTTTGGCTCCCGCTGCAGCCTGTCACGGTGGTGACCCCTATGGGGTTCCTGCCTCCCTGTCCCACTTCTGCTTTCAGCTCCAGCTTTGGCACCTCCTGGGACTTCAGCATGGAGCCCAGGGGTGCTGTTGCCCCACACCTTCCCCCACCCTTCTGGAGGGTGTGCAGGGGCTGCTGGGAGCCTTGGGAGGATGCCAGGGAAGAGGGAAACACATTGTAAGCAACCATGGGAGAACACAAGAGCAGCACAGCCAGGCGCAGTGGCTCACACCTGTAATCCCAGCACACCTGTAATCCCAGCACTTTGGGAGGCCAAGGCGGGAGGATGGATTGAGCTTGGGAGTTTGAGGCTACAGTAGGCTATGATCACACCACTACACTCCAGCCTGGGCAACAGAGCAAGACCCGGTCTCCAAAAAAAAAAAAAAAAAGGAGGAGGAGCAGTGCACCAGCAAGCCCCAACCTTTGACACTGGGCCCCTTCCACCTGTCAGACACACTCACACCCTTCCGACTCTGGTGACTGAAGCTCTCCTGGCCTTTCTCCCACCCCTCTGGCTGCAGATTCCTCTCCTCTGTCCCTTTATAGGTCAAGGTCCCTCATATCCCATGCCTTGATCCTGGTCCTCTCTCTACACCCCAAGGTCCCTCACATCCCATGTCTTGGTCCTGGTCCTCTCTCTACACCCACTCCCTGCTCCATCTCGTCCATCATCCATCGTCCTCCCTTACCTGGCTCCAGCCCTTAGGTCAGCTCCAGAACTGCGTGCCCAGATGTCCACTGGATATCGCCCCATGAGGCCCCACAGGCACCTCAGGCTCAAGTGTCCACAGAGGGCTGATTTCCTGCTTCCTCAGGAAAGTTGCCAAAACTCTCTGGGCCTCAGGCGAGTCGTCTATAAAATGGGTACAGGAGGATCCACCTCAGAAGGTTATTGTGAGGACTAAACTGTCACAGCACCTGGCTAATGGGTAAATACATGCTCAGTAAATGTGGCCATCTCCATCTCTTTCTCCAAGAAAACCTGCTCCCAGTCCACTGCACTAATGCCAGCTGTCCCTGCCTGCCCGCCACTAGCCTGGCACCTCCAAGGCATTGTCCACAAGGCAACCAAAGTGACAGGACTGTGACCACTTCTCAATGGCTCCTCATCACCCTCAGGACAGAGTTGGCTCTCTGCCTGCCCACAGAGCCTTTCTGTAGTCTAGCCAGACAGAGAGAGGAGCCACAAATATTTGAGAATGAAATGAGGGTGGGGGAGGGAGGAAAAGAGTGAAGGAGAGAGTAAGGGAGGAAGGAAAAAAGGAAGAAAGGAGAAAGAAAGAGAGAAGAAACAGAGAGAGCGAAAGAAAAGAAAGAAGGAAGGAGAAAGAAGAAAGAAAATAAAAAATGAAGGGAAAAAGGAAAGAAAAAAAGACAGAAAAGAGAGAAAGAGAAAGAAAAAGAAAATTCTGTTCCATCCTGAGCTTTAAGAGAGGTCTGGTGGCTGACTGTCTCCTCTCACTTGCTGCAGTTTAGAGCACGTGACCACTCTCGTTCTTTTCATCTGGTGGAAGGGGCACCACCACTCTCCTCTCCCAGTGGGGTGTGGGGTAGATGAGATCACAGAGACTGAACATAGCAGGCGCTCATGGGTGCCAATTCCTTTTCCTCCCTCTCCCAGAGCCTGTCAAGGGGCAGTGAACTTGGAGTGAGGCTAAATAATGAACGAAGGTATTTTTAAATTGGGGTATAGAGGAGGTCTCACCTCCTGTGAAGTGGGAAGCAGGGCTTCTGGAGTCCTAGACCATTTGGGTCTGTGCTGACAGGGAAGTCAGGAGAGAAGGGAAAAGAAGGAATTTGGGGAGTTCAAATGGGGGTGGAGGGTGCTGGTTTCTTTCCAGCTGTTCCTCAAGAGCTCTGCCCAGCTGGATGTCTCAGATTTGGGGTCTGAGCACCTTAGGGCAGCCTCAGTTTTCCCAAGATGCTCCCCTCTGGGAGGTCGAAGAAAAAGCAGCCCAAGAAGAAAGGACAGATAGCAGTTTGCTTCTGCCCTAACAGCCCTCAGCACTGCCCACCCAGTCACCCCACTCAGATCCAGGAAGCAGCCCTGACTTTCCCCCAGGGATCCCCATGTGACCGCCACACCTGCTGCCCTGCAGGTGGAACCCTCCCCTGAACCCAAAACCCTTCCCTAGCAATGTTGGCTAGTGGTGGGAAGGGGTCGCTGGCACCAGAGCCCAGCAGCCCAGGTTCAACTTCCAGCCTCACCTTGTTGCTGCGTGCTGTTGTCTTTCCTTAGTTTCTTCCCTAAGTCCTTCTAAAAATTCTGTCTTTCAGCTGATGCCCTGAACAGGGGAAACAAATCTTATTTTAGCTCTTTTTTTATAGCATATGTTATTGACTTCATTTCTCCTAGTAGAAAAGTAATGTGTATTCACTATAGAATACGTTAAAAATATAGACAGTATAAAGAAAGAAATAAGGATCATGATCCTGTCATCTGGACAGGGCCACTATCAACATGTTTGGAATATGTTCTTTCATTTTTTTTTTTTTTTTTTTAAGTCAGAGTTTCACTCTTGTTGCCCAGTCTGGAGTGCAATGCCATGATCTTGACTCACCACAACCTTCGCCTGCTGGGTTCAAGCGGTTCTCCTGCCTCAGCCTCCCTAGTAGCTAGGATTACAGGCATATGACACCACGCCCAGCTGGTTTTTTTGTTTTTTGGGGTTTTTTTGCATTTTTAGTAGAGACAGGATTTCTCCATGTTGGTCAGGCTGGTCTCAAACTCCCAAACCTCAGGTGACCCGCCCGCTTCTGCCTCCCGAAGTGCTGGGATTACAGGTGTGAGCCACCACGCCGGGCATGTTTGGAATATTTTCTTCTGAGAGCTTTCTCAGTGTCCATATATAGCCCTGGAATTGTACCTACAGATAAAATTTCATATGCAGATTCCTCCACTCACTATTATATGAAGAGTGGGAAAAAGAGATTAGGGGAGTGGAAAGAGCAGTCTTTGTGGTTATACAGACTGCATAAATTCCAACACCATGCTTTACCACGTGTGTGAAACTGGGCCTCAGCTCCTAGTCTGTAGAATGGGGATGGCAACTGCGCCACTCACAGCAGAAAAAGGTCATATCTCTGCCCTTGATGCCAAGCCCCACCCCCAGAGGGAAGGAGGCAGCTGGGAGCCCTGGGCTGGGGAGACCTGGTGTATCAGCCACCTTTGCAGCTCCCCCTGTTCCCATCCAGGACTAGACCTGTCAGAAACTAGTGGGTGGGGAGCTTAGAAAGGAGGAGCCAAGACACCCAGCTGCCCTCAGGCCCAACCACTCACTGTGTATTGTCCTCCAGCAAGTCATGGGGCCTCTTGGAACCTCGGCTGTGGAATGAGAGGATTGTGCTCCAGCAGCATTTCCTAAGCAGTGTTTCTAGGTCTAAGAAAGGAAGAGTCTGAGGTCGAATGCTGGACAAGCACAGTTAAATGTGTTTCTTAGCTGCAGGACTTTTCAGAGCCTTTGATGTCAGAGGATAATGCATTGAGGGGAGTTGCCAGACTTATCATAGATGCCCCCTTTTTACCCCAAGATACCTAAAGGGAATTGAGTGTGGTTGGGGTTGGGGAGGCCTGATCCCAGAGTTCTCTGCAGCCCTTGTTCCTTGCTACTCTCCTCCCATTTTTCATGCCCAGCCTAACTCCACAGCTCAAAGCTCCCTGTTCACAGCACACACTTCTTTTTTATCTCCCTCCTTGGAAAGCCATTCGCTTCCCTCCTCCCTGCCTTCCCCTCTTCCCCAGGTTAATTCCTAGAAAAAACTCAGTTATAGCAGCCCCTCCCCCAGGAAGCCCTCCCTGACTTCCAGGCTGGTCAGACCTGCCTCTACTCCCACAGTCCCAGTAGGACTTCTACCAAAGCTCACGACACACTGCCCAGTACCAGGCTATCCCCAAGGCAGGCTGCCACCACCCTGGGAGCTGGCCAGGACAGGGCCAGCTCTGCTTCCTCTCTGTATCCCGATCCCCAACACAACAATGGCACCCATATTCTGGAGCTGTCACTGATAAATAAAGGCAGCTGTGCTTGGTGAGGAGGGGAGTGGTCACGTGGGGAATCAGAGCCTCCACGGCCTCAGGTACACCCATGAGGATGGTCCCTGGATCCTGGCCTGAGGCTGAGGCTGGTGGTCTGTTACCTGCAGTGTCAGACGGACACACGTACAGCCGCTCAAGCCACAGGATGCACTACGCCTGCAGCTCCTCGGAGGACTGGCCACCACCCTTGGACATCAGCTCTGACGGGGATGTGGATGCCACAGTGCTCAGGGAGCTGTACCCAGATTCTCCACCAGGGTAAGGAAGCCATGTGGGCAAGGGGGGGCATCAGAGGGTGGGGCCCTGGACACAAAGAACCCCCCCAACTCCATCATGGGAAAGAGTGGCACCTTTCCACATAGTATAAATGCAGAAGACATCTTCTCAGTGGGCACAGCCACCTCCTCCCCGCTCCTGACCAAGCAGGTCCCATTGAGGCAGTGTGACTTAGCAGATGTCACCTGGAAATGCTAGAAAAGGAAGAGACAAGCCCAGCTCCTCAGACTGCTGAGCAGGTGTGCCAGGAATGCCCTTGCAGTTTCTGGGGAGGTTCCGTGGCAGCTGTCCTGAGCTCGCTGAGGATCTGCTCCTCTGGGTGTCTCCCTGGAGGTGGGAGGGAAATTCACTGTGCTTCTATAAATAACACCAGGGACTAGGGCAGCAAAGAGGGGACGAGCCCATATGCTGACAGCTGATGGCCCCAGGTGCACTCGCTCTGGAAATTCCTTCTTGTATGATCATGAGCAAGTTACTTAATCTCGCTGTGCCTGCTTCTCCATTGTTGAAATGAAATGAAATGTCATTGTTGAAATGCCCCATGGGACTCATGAAAATGACACAGACGCACCCATAAAATGCACAGCAAGGCACTGCCTCTTCTCACCAGTGGTGCCATTACTATTTCGAGGCCACAGGTGATAAACTGTCCATGCTGAGGAGGATGAGGAGACGGGATCAGGGAGGATGGGCTGATACAGGAAATCACCCTTTGTCAAGGTGTGTGAGGGGCTTGGGTTGGGAGGAACTGGGACCTTCAGAGATGCAGAGGAGGGTATCACCAGCAGAGGGCACAGATGAGCAAAGGCCCGGAGGCAGCCCCGCTTCGGAGGGCACAGTTGGGTTTGAACTCCTCTCCCTTTCCCCTGCCCTGGCTTTGCAGTCAGACCTGCCTGGGTTTGAGCCCATCCTGGACGCTGCCCAAGTTGATGCCTTCGGGCATGTCACTGTGGCTCTCAGGGGCCTCATTTCTTTATGAAATAGGGACCAATAACCCTGCTTCCTGGGTTTTCCTGGGGAGGAAGAAGATACTGTGGGTGTCTGGAGATGTGGCTCAGGGTTACCCTTGGCTCCTAAGGCCATGGCCTGAGGACACAGTCACCTCCCTCGATCCCCAGGAGTCCAGCCTGTAGGGGAAGGGCCAACTGGGCCCCAGAGACCAGGAGCTGGGCCCCAAGGAGGCTGCCTTTACCCGGTGTGGCTCATCTAAAGGACAGGAACAGGTGCGGCTGCTTCTGATGGAGGTGGAGGTGCACAGATGCCCTGGGGGTGCCTGGAGCAGACTTCTTCCTGAGCCAGAGCAGAGCATTGGGTTGGCCTCAGGTAGGAGAGCCGTCCCCGCTGCAGGCCTCCGTTGTGGTCAGGCACCTCCGCCCAGGCTGGTTGGGATCAGGGCCGGGACAGGTTGGGCAGGCCTGAGGCAGGGGTGGGGAGGGGTGAGGAAGGTGGGGGCATGGCTGGGAAGACAGGGGTGATTTCCCCCCAAACACACACACATATGCACACACGCACACATGAACACACAAACACACCTGCTGAGACCTCCCAGGCGACAGGGGTCTGGCTGAGCCTGGGGTCTTTGTGGCCTCACCTGCAGCCACCAAGGCAGAGGCTGGCCTTAGGGATTGAGACGGGTTTCTCTCAGAGAAGCGGGGTTCACGGAGCCAGAAGGAGGGAGTTATGCCCTCAGTTATGTCCTGGGGACCCCAGAGACAGCGGCAGTGGAAAGAGAAAGGGACAGATGGAGCTTGTGGCCAGGAGGAACCTGTGTCTGCAATCACGCCCACAGCAGTGGCTGTGTCCAAACTGCCCTCAGGCCCCTCAAGCAGCCCCTCCCCGTGGGGAGCTCTTCTCTGGGGGCCCTTTGGTCCACTCCTGCCAGCTGCCACCAGGCAGACCACCTGTCAGTACTTGAAGAGGGAAAGGGGTCAGGGCCTCCACCATTCCCTGCTAGGAGACCCCCAGCCCTGTCCTCCCCCTTGCCCTTCCACCTTCACCCCTGCCCCAGGATCACAAGCAAGGGTGATGCTGCCAGTCCTTTCCAGGGCAGTGGGTGCTTTTTAGCTCCGCATCTGTGGGTTCAGAGGGGCCCCAGGACTCTTTCCTAAACCTAGAAGGGGAACTTTGGAGTGGCTGGAGACCAAGGGGCGTCTGGCAGCCTGAGGTTAGTCCTACCCAGCCTCCACACACCCAGTGCGCTGCAGGGAGAGGTTCGCTAGACAGTGACCACTGCTGTTTCGAGGTACTAGAGACTCGGCCATTCTGTGTTGAGTTCATGCTGCACATGAGGGCTGAGTCAGGTCCCGATTCCAGGTCCCAAGGGTTCTTGGGCCCCCTCTGGAAGTAGAGGGAGGTAGTAGAGTTTCACTGGAGCCAGCGTGGACAAGGCCCACCCTGGCCCACAGCCAGGACAGCTTGTCACTGCAGAGAGACCCCCCCCAAGCCTTTGGGAGAGACCCAGCCCTAAGGCCTAAGCGGGGCACTGAGGGAGCCTCTTCTCTTGTAGCTACGAGGAGTGTGTGGGGCCAGGGGCCACTCAGCTATATGTCCCCACGGACGCACCGCCACCCTACTCGCTGACCGACTCCTGCCCCACGCTGGATGGCGCCTTTGACTCAGGCAGCAGCCACAGCCCCGGCCGACACCAGCAGGAGCAGAGGAGCCCAGGCCAGAGTGGCCTCCGCACGGTCTCCATGGACACACTGCCCCCCTATGAGGCTGTGTGTGGGGCTGGCCCCCCATCAGGCCTGCTGCCACTGCCGGGCCCAGGACCAGGGCCAAGGGGCTCACAGAGCTCACCCACCCCAACCCGGGCCCCAGCTTCCGGCCCAGAGAGGATCGTATGAGGGACCCAGCCGGCAGGGTTCTGCCGGTCCCTATGGGCTGAACCACGTTCTTTAGGCACACAAAGTCGTGCACACACACATACAGAGAGATGCACATGTGACTCATACACACACACAGACCAAACTTGTATACACACAGACATCTACACTGACATGCCCCATGCACACACACACAGATCTAGACATGTCCCACATGTGTGTAGACACGTGCACACAAACAGGCCCGCCACAAACACAAAACCCACCTGCAAAGGTTTCATGGAACACGGAGCTCTCTTGACCTCCCCTCCCTCCTCCCAACCTGTGGGTTGTGCCTCTGTAGACAGCACTGTGGGGAGAGAGGTGACATAGGAAGTGGGACTTTCTCTTCCCTCTCCGGGCCCGTTTGCCCCTACCCTCACCCAGCAAGCTGTGCCCAAATTCTGATTCTGCCTCTGGAAACTGCTGGACCATCCAAGGTCAGCTCCCTGTCCTGATCCCTCAGGGCCAGCTCGTCCTCCTGGGAGGTGGGACAGGCCCCAGTGAGGTTCCGCTGTGCACTGTGCCTATCTCTCAATTCCAGGGCAGAAGAGCCCACCACATCACCACCCTGCCACTTACAAGGTGGGGGACCCGGGTCTGGGGGCTCAGGCACAACCTGGAAGCCCTCACAGCCCACCAGGCCCCCTCCCGAGCCTGGTACCCTCAGTCAGGTGGTGCTAGTGGAGCTATCTCTGAAGCTGCAGGCCCCAGGTAGGTGGGCAGGGCCCTCCGTGGGTGTGCGGCGGCGGTTCCCTCATCAATCCGGCCACTGCCCAGGACTGAGGGTCTTCAAGGAAGATGAGGCCATTGCCCTTCTCCAGGTGGCTTCA